GGGGGGGCTGCGAAAAAAACCACTTATCCTGAGATAATCTCATTTTTTCCCTACATTTTCCAAAAAGGTTTGTATTGTCAGCTGTGTGAATAACGAATGCAAATAGACACAGGATAAACTGAGATAAAACTGCATGCCTTGAATGTGTTTTGAATACATCTGCATCTTTATTTGCAGTGCTCACATGTGTGTGCGTGTGAGAAACAGAACATGCAGAAATACACATAGATGCAGTTCTGATTTGGAAAACAAAATAATGTGAACAACAAAACCGGAATGCGTGAGTGAGATTATTTGCATAGTCGCGCTTAAAAAAAAAGTCTGAATAACCCCTAAGAACTAGGCTCTTCAGGCACAAGTTGTTTGTTAGAGCTTCACATAGTATTTTACAGATTTTTAACTGGAGAACTGACTGTGTTGGATTTGTCTTTTTGAGATGAGTGCTCAGGGAACCTTTGGTCTCATTATATACTTGATTCACAGGCTATTTCTGTTGGAAACAGGCCATTGGGATAAGGTAATCTTATGCAAAGATAGGACAGAAATTAGTAATAATGAATACTTTACTGGAAGAAAAGGAGTGTTGATTTGGAATGATGGGACAGATTTCTTGTAGCAGCCCCCCCCCCCCCCCCCCCCCCCCGGGCTTTTTGCCCCTCCGTTATTGTTGTTTTGTTGCTGTTGTTATTTTGTTGTTAACTGAGAGTTGATGTCAACTCATGATGACCCTGTGGATGATACACCTCCAAGACCCCCATCCTCCACTGCTCTTCTTAAGTCTTGTAGATTCTTGCCAATGACCTCCCTAATTGAGTCCATCCATCTGATGTTCAGCCTTCCTCTCTTTCTACTATCTTCAAACTTTTCCAGCATTACTGTCTTTTCCAGTGATTCCCGCCTTCTCATGATGTAGCCTTCAATTTGATCATCTTGGCTTCCAGGGGTGTTTCAGGCTTGATCTGGTCAAAAACCCATTTGTTTGTCTTTTTGGCTATCCATGGTGTCCTCATCACGCTTCTCCAGCACTACATCTCAGATGAGTTGATTTTCTTTTTATCTGCTTTTTTCACTGTCCAGCTCTCACTCCTGTACATAAATGAGGGGGAATACAATGGCTTGGGCGATTTTAACTTTAGTCCTCAGTTGTATATTTTTTGCTCTTTAATATCTTGTCTACTTCTTTCATGTATGTGCCCCTCCACACACTAAAAATAATTTCGGTTTAAATATGGTCAGTCACACCCCAAGAAACTTCCAATATTTGGTCATTTCAGGCCATGGGAAAGGGATAGACCTATAAAATTATGTATAGGATAAATGTATCTGAGAACCTTTCTTTGTCTCTTACTTTTGTTGTTGTATCTACAAATATAGGGGCATCTAAGATGCTTGCATCCAGGAGACCCCCTATTCTCAACAGTTCGGCTCAGGTCCTACAGATTCAGGGCCGTGTCCTCCTTAGATTAAGTCTATCCTTGTGGTATGTGGTCTTCCTCTCTTCCTACTGCCCTCTGCTTTTCCAACTGTTATTTTCTTTTCTAGTGAGTCATGCCTTCTTCTGATGTGGCTGAAGTACGACAGCCTCAATTTAGTCATTTTGGCTTTTGGGGAAGAGTACAGGCTTGATTTCTTCTAGGACCCATTTGTTTGCCTTTTTAGCCGTCCATGGTATCTGCAGAACTCTCCTCCAGCACCATATCTCACCTTTTCTTTCTGTCCACTTTCTTCACTGTCCAGCTCTGACACTCATTCATAGTGATATAATGGTTTGGACAATCCTAATTTTAGTTTTCAGTTGTATATCTTTGCACTTCAGGATCTTGTCTAGTTCTTTCATAGCTGTCCTTCCTAGTCTTCTTCTTCTGTTTCTTAATTACAATCTCCATGCTGATCAATGTTTGATCCAAGGTATAGGAAATCTTTATTTCTATTTCATCATCATCTACTTTGAATTTACATAAATCCTTTGTGGCCATTATTATTTTTGATTTCTTAATGCTCCAACAGTAAGCTTGCCTTAGCACTTGACTTTCCTTAGTAATTGTTCCAAGTCTTTGCTATTTTCTTCCAGTATTGTGGTATTGTCTGCATATCTTAGATCAGGGGTCGGCAACCTTCCCTTACCTGGGGCCGGTCGCTGGCAACATTCCCTTCCGGCAGGCTGGGGGGGGGAGGAATGGTGGCGCACCACACGTGCCACCGCCGTGCGCACTGCCGCCACCACATGCGGTGCAGCCACCATTTTGTTTGCCAAAATGGCAGCCGCAAGTCATTCTTCCAATCTTCACTCCTGCCTTTGAGTTTAAACCTGCTCTGTGTGTTAAGTTTGATGTGTATAAGTTGAACAAATAGGGTGATAGAATGAAGCCATGTTCTCCCTTTCTGATTGGAAACCATTCCATTTCTTCGTATTCTAACTGTAGCCTCTTATCCTGCATACAGGTTATTCATCAGGACAGTCAAATGTATTGGCACACCCAATTCTTTAAAAGCAATTCATAACTTTTTGTAAACGAAGCAGTCAAAGGCTATAGCAGGGGTAGGCAACCTGTCCCCTTTAAGGGCCGAGGGACTTCAGCTCCCAGAAGCCTCAGCCATGTTGGCCAATAGTCCCATGTTGGCCAATAGCTCCTGGGATTCTGGGAGCTGAAGTCCCTCAGCCCTTAAAGGGGACAGGTTGCCTACCCCTGGGCTATAGTCTATAAAGCATGAGCTGATTTTCTTCTGGTATCCTGTGGTGCTCTCCATTATCTAATATATGGCTGTTAGTAATGACTGATGTATTGGTGGCTTTGTGCTGGATCTAAGCTGCATCTCAAAAGGGAGCTAATGTTATTCCATTGTGAGTACCTTCACACAACTCAGTAAGCCGATGGTGTGCAGAAGCACATTGAGCATTGCAGCCATGCACATGCTTCCTTTCTCTCACTGCAGCTAAAGCAAATTACAGAGCTTTGATGTAATGTTTGTTTATTGTCTTGTGAAAACTTAGATACAACTCCCAGCAAACCATGAATGCATTTTAAAAGCAAACACCATAGGGTTTTACAAACAAGAGTTATAGTTTGTGTTGCAAACAGGAGTACTCAGTCTGCTCATCTGCAGTAAGCCATGCTTCACACTGATCCCCTGGTTTACCATGCTTACCAAACATGCACGACATCATGATCCCATGCAGTTAAAAGTCTGCATGTTAAAGAGGGGAATGGAAGATCTGCTTTCTGAATCTTTAAATATGTGAGTACACATGATTTTTCTTTGCTTCTTGGCTCCAGCTCACATGGTTATTGAAGGAGATGTTGGGGCTGAAGCAGTTACTCATAGGCGTTTAAGGCTATTTTTGCCTTTTGTGTCATTGCAATAAAAGGATGTTTCTAAAAGCAAGAACAGGGAGGAGTTGCACAAGTGTTGGTGAAATGTGACATATGAGACTGCATGTCCTGTGTTTCTGAGATCATTTTTTTATATAGCACAGAATGAGAGATTATTTGTAAGGTTTCTGAATTCAGCATCACAGATTTTTCCTGAAAAGTATGTTATCAGATATGGACAACGTAATGGAAGTAAATCCTGGGTTTTGTTCATTTATTAATTCAGTAGTATTTATAGACCACTTTATAGCTCTCTCAGAGCAGCACAGGCTCACATTTTGATTCAGTAATTTATTGAGAAAATCTGGCAGCATGAGCTTTCATAGACTTCAGTCTACTTCCTCAGATGCATTTGGTGAAGAGGAAACCAGGCACAGACATATCTATGTCATTGGTATGTGAGGATGTCAATTCAAATTCAAAATCCTTTGTGTAGGGAAATGAAGTGGCAGGTCCAGTTTTAAGGATGG